TATATATATATATATATATATATATATATATATATATTTTGCAGCTGGTCCTGCCCCTTCCACTCTCTGCCTGAGCCACACGGATAGGGGCCCAGGCAGGCACAGCAGGAGGACAGAGCCCCTCTCTCTCCCAGCAGGGCAATCTGGGGGGGCATTTGACCCTGCAAGCCCCCTCTCCCCCCGGCCCCAGGGAAGTTAACAGCAGAACTCCCATTGTTTTCAGTGGGGCCAGAATGTCACCCCAAGTGCATACACAGAGGGATGGTGTCGCTCACCACAGAACTGCAGCCACTTCTGGGGTGCCACACAGCCACTGCAGGACAGCACACAACAAAAGCCACACAGACAGTAAGTGAAGAACACCTCGTCCAAGGAAAGCTGCTGCATATGGGCTCCAAACGCCAGCGAGGACCAGCCAGCTGCAGTTACTGCCAGGCAGGCCATTTGAACCACGAACATTATTTACTTTCTGAGCCACATAAACCCTGGCGCTCCGCTCTTGCTGTGCCTCAGAGGTCTCCAAGATGACATGCATTCAAACAGCTGCCCTGGCGCCAGAGCAGAAGCCAGCCTACTCCAGCTGAGGGACGGCAGAAGGAAAGCAGGGTCAGAAAAGCTGGGACAAGCCGGGAGCTCCAGCCCAGGGAATTAAGCTGCTCCTTAGAGAGAAAAAGGCTCTTGGGAATCCAGAAAAGCCCAATTGGGGGCTGGCTTCATTCCAGCCCCTCTTTCCCCAGGCCAGCTGTTCCCCCCAACACCTCCCACCCAGCGACCCCTCTCACCCAGAAGTTCCCCTTGAACAGAGTCTCCTTCATGGTGCAGGAAGAGCTGCAGCAGAGTCCCCCAGCGCCCCAGGCTGCACAGAGACTGAGCCACTCCAGCCACACTGAAAGTCGATAACTTTTTAGTTCCTCCTCGATCCCTGGTGCCTGCCGCTGGCTCCTCTGGGTCCTAAACCCCAAAGCAAGCAACCAGCCACCCTGCTTTCTCCCCTCCTCCCTGCCAAGCCAGCGATTATCTGCATGGGATTTCAGGACTTTCCTCCTGCCTCCCTGCATTTCTGGGCTTGTTTCCTTTTTAGTAGCTCTTTTCTTGGGGAAGAAGGGCAAGGAATGGAGAGAGCCTGGGCTTTAGGAGTGAAGGGCTCAGCAAGTGCACGCCTGGCTGGATGTTTCCTCCCTAGGCTACTTAATGAGTGCAGCAGATTACAAAATCATGGGTCAAGTCTCTGCCCCAAATCAGTGTGCCTAGCGGAGTGAGCACTGGGCTGGGGTTTAGGGGACCAGGACTCTAATCCCAGCTCTGCTGCAGGACGGCAGGGTGACCTCAGGCAAGTGACTCTCTGTGCCTCAGTTTCCCCTTCTAAAAATGGAGATAATTAATGATACTGACCTCCTTTGTAAAGTGCTCTGAGAGCTACTGATGAACATAGCTGTAAGAGCTAGGCAGTATGATTAATAATAATCCTATGTTAAATTGCTAATGCATGTACAACCCTTTGCAGCGGTAAAGCATTATGAGGCAAAGAACATGGTCAAGAATGATGTGGGGGCCAGATGTTTGAATTGCTCAGTGCCCATGACTGGTTCTGGATGGGCCTTAGCCTTTCCAAGTTAATGATCTGTAACACACACAGCTATTTGCAGGGCTGAATCAAGGGGTGAGGGTGAGGAGTAACTCAAGGGCAGAATGTTAATACCCAGAGAAAGAGGGGGAAACACCACCAGTAATCACTGCCCACTGGTAACCACCATCAAATAAATAATATATGGAGATATACCTGCCTCATAGAGCTAGAATGAACCAAAGGTTATGGAGTCCAGTCTGCTGCCTTCACTAGCAGGACCAAGTACTGTCCCTAAGAGATCTTTTTTTTTTCCCCCTGATCCCTAAATGGCCCCCTCAAGGATAGAACTTATGAGGCTGGATTTAGCAGGCCAATACTCAAACCACTGAGCTATCCCTCCCCCCTAGGGGGCATAGTTTCATTACATGTTTGCCAACAGGCAGAGGACACCATTAGTTCAGTGTAACTGGCTGTACAGCATTCCCACAAGGTGTGTGTGAATTTCTCCTCTGATTAGATCATTAATGGATTCCAAGGCAGGAGGGTTCATTGTGATCATCTAGTCTGACCTCCAGTAGACCGGAAACCTCGCCCTAGGATTGCTCATCGCCTCAGAAAATCAGACTCTTTAATGATGTCTCAAGTTGGACACCCAAAATTAGTGCCCACTTTTGAGCCTAAGGGAGGACAGACCCCCTCTCAGTAGGACAATCTATGGGGGACCTTTGACCCTAGTGTCACACAGTGAGCGAGGAGCATTGCCAGGATGAGAACCCAAGCTTTATCCTACTAATTGCTAGACAGTGCTGCTTTCCCTGTAGGCATCTGATTATTTTCCATAGAGCCAACGCCTTGCTTTAGTAACAAGCACTGCTGTCAGCAAGAACCTTCTGACATGAACCTGCAGGTCCATTTACTGACATCTGACTAATCAAACACAGCCTAGAATTAGTCAGTCTCATGGCTGCTTTTCAGCCACTGGATAACCAAAACCTGCAGAAACTCAGCATATCCTAGGGTAATATTTGCTGTCAGTCAGTTACTAATGCTTCTTCCCACAGAGAGGCAATAGAAGGTGGCAGATCTCATTCAGGTTAAGTTAACTTGGGCGATTGGCACCTGAGTTTTAACCTCGCCTGAGTCTGAGTAGCCATACTGCAAAGTCGTACTACCGGCATTACTATGTCCTCACTGTTTCTGCACTCCCCCATGTGTTGCTGGAGGCTACAACCCCTGGTTCTTTGTGCTGAGACACTCTAGGATTCTTTCCCACTCAATAGTGAGAGAACTCTTCAGAAGGCACTATGGTAAGGCATTGGAGGACTATCAGCACTGAAGTGGTTTATCCTACATCCACACTGGAAAATGGACAGGTTCCAGCCCAAGTTGAAGCAGAGCCTGGGTTCTAATCTATGCTCCCATAAGATTAGCCAAGGTTAAAAGCACCTCCCAATCCAGGTACACGGTTTTTGTGTGTGGATGGGAGGGTTGGGCTAAAACCTGGATAAGAGCCTGGGTTAACGTTGCAATCCTCGACGTGCAGCTGTCTATGTGGTTTATTACACACTGTAACTAACAAGGTAAACCCAAATCACTCCACGGCGGGAGAGTGTTGTCCCCATGAGGAACGATCTAGAGGTAAAATGAGAATCTGCTGGAGGCCACGTCATTGTGTGCAAAGGCCCCATGTGGCTGCATTGGCTCCAGGGATCCTAGCCATTTCCAGCTTCCTGGCAACACTGTTCATGTCAACTACTTAATATGGCTGCATAGACTGTATTTACTTTTCAAAGGACAGCAGGTTAGTAGGGGCGATGATGCACATATCCCCAGCCCTGGAGGGTATACCACCAGCTCCCAGGATGAGGGAAGATTCTGCTATAAAGGCAGCTATCCATATTTTCCACGTGAGTAAGGGGTCCCCTCTGCATGGAATCATCCAGACCTTAGCTTGCAAAGTGTGTTGGGATCCTTCAGAATGAAAGAGTGTCAATATGCATCCTGTGTTGTTGTTATATTATATATAATATTAATGGAGATATCCCATCTCCTAGAACTGGAAGGGACCTTGAAAGGTCATTGAGTCCAGTCCCCTGCCTTCACTAGCAGGACCAAGTACTGATTTTGCCCCAGATCCCCAAGTGGTCCCCTCAAGGATTGAGCTCACAACCCTGGGTTTAGTAGGCCAATGCTCAAACCACTGAGCTATCCCTTGTGAGGTA